TGCTGATGACATCGCCTGTAACACACAGAATAACCTGACATCATGCACAGACAGAGAGACAACAAACATGCTGATGACATCGCCTGTAACACACAGAATAACCTGACATCATGCAGAGACAGAGAGACAACAAACATGCTGATGACATCGCCTGTAACACACAGAATAACCTGACATCATGCACAGACAGAGAGACAACAAACATGCTGATGACATCGCCTGTAACACACAGACTAATGAAATGACTAACAAGAAGTCACCAATCATAAAGCAGCTTGCCCAAGCTTTACGTCACGATTGTTCCAAACTGGTGACTTCATTCCAGACTACACTTTGAAACATATTTAAGTTCTCAATTCCAAATTTGAAAATTGCAGAAAAGAAAATTCTGGAACGTCTAACAGATAACTGAGGTTATATGGCAGTAATTCCCATGGGTAATGGAAAGTTTCTTCCATTTCAAATATTTATCTTTGTGCACCGATGATGTGGATCATTGTTCACAGTATAAGAGTTTTACATGACACAGTTATGTGCATCCAGTATGCACAAATTTAAAGAAAGGACGCAAAGGAAATAAAAATTGCATGACAATATTACCATGATTACTTGTACCACATTTTGCAGATATAGACTCAGCGCCTATATGATTCATTTGTTCAGAGTTTGAGGTGGTTTATTAGGAGAATATTAATGAGTAACTCTTCTCTGATGTCAAAAAGCTGTTTGTGCCAGCAATAGCAACAATTTTATTTAACACAGACCCTCTTTCATAAAATTGCCAGTACTATCACAAAATGATTCAATATTATTCACATTCATTATTATCATGCTCAATGTTTGTTGTTTCAGAGAGATACACTACCATACATCACTGCAAATCAGAAATGATTAAATAACAAACAGTTGAAGACTATGGCACCAGTGCATTGTCTAATTTCATTACGCATGTTAATTCATGCGTTTGTTTCATAGCTCTGCAGTCAAATGCTATTTCAACAAAATATATACCGTATTCGACGTAATAAGCGCCCAGGGCGCTCTCAAAATTAGAAATAATGGGCTCTTATTAGAATATTACTTTGGTGGAAAAAACAGAGTTGAAAGATAAATTTCGTGGTTTATGCTGACAGTCAAAACTCTTTATATACGACAGATACATTTTTCCAGAATTTAATAGCCCATAATTAAGGGTGCATATAACACACGAGTGCGTATTATACAGGAATAAATAAGTCATGTGTACATTGATAAATCTGAAGGGGTGCTAATTGGGATTGTTCACTTGCCAATATATTAGCAAATATCGCCTTATTAGAGCAGGGCGCTTATTACGTCGAATATGGTACTTCAAAATATTGCCATAATCTACCGTCCATTGTCAAAATAACAGAAAGTAAGGAAAACACACTCTATTGAATGATAGCTTGTGAAGAATTGAGTTACAAACAGATGAAGGATATGGCATCATGTACAAGGTCCAGCGCATTGTCTTATTTCTTCAGCTGACAATACATTGTCAAAATAACAGAATAAAATAAAAACACAATCTATTTAATGATACTGGCAACTTATGAACAAGTTTATCTTTGCATTTGAGGAAATTAGTCTTAGACATGACTAAAAATGAAACCCAAACTTGATGAAAGCCAACAGTGTCCTCATTGTAAGGATGCACACAGTCTACAGTTAAAGTTGGTTAGGCCATTTCACAACAACACATTTTTAACACTTCCTTTAAGAGATGATAAAAGCAGTCTGTCATTACATGTTTTGGCCTGTGTCTAGAGGGTAGGGTGGCAGGTGACATGTAAGTGCTACCTTGCCAAACATAACTTTGAACAGCCTTGTCAAACTAGGCAGCACACAGACACCGCCTACATTTTTAATTTGGGCAATTTCTGTGTCATGGCCAGACAACATGAATGAAGCATGACAACCGGTGTTGTGCCCCCTCTCCCAGCACAATGTTCAGCTGACCTTGATGCATGGGGCGAGTGAGTGAGTTGGGTTTAATGTTTCCTTGAACGGTGTCTCAGATATATTACACTGTGTCAACTCAATCTTGTTTGTTTGTTGTTTAACTCTGCACACACCAATATTCCAGCCATCATGATGGCGGCCTGTAAATAATCAAGTCTCAGGGAAATAATCTAGGATTCAAAACTACCCTAGGCAAGCAAACTGCATCTTCCCAAGGCAAGGGATTTAACTGACTATAAAGTCCAGTTTCCACCCTTGCCGAACTAGGCTGGAATTTCTGTGCTCGATCGTAGCGCCACCAGGGGCTATTACGAGTTGTGTCCCTTCTATGCCTTTCCTATTGGCCAATCAGATTCCACCTCTTGTGTCACTTGCATTTGCTTCAAACAAAATGGTATCGCTAAGCCAAGACGATCTGATCAATTATCAAGATCTATATTGTGATAAAACAGATCTTACATCGCAAAGTCCATCAAATCACATGAGCACCTTGATTAAAAAAATGATAAGATTCGGAAAATATCACTTGATGCCAAGTTGGCGGTGCACATGATTTGCAAATCCTGCAATCAACCGAAATCTGCACAACAGTTTAAGAACCGGATTTCGATTTCCTTACGTGATTTTGATTGGTCTATGCATAGCCTCGTTTGTCCAGCCAAAATATAACTGCATGATACCAGCCTAGTTCGGCAAGGGTGGAAACTGGACTTTTAAAGTCAAACTGGCAAACTGGTAGAGTATGGTATTTTTGTTCAAAGTAGGATTTCCTTGAAACTTTTATTTTCCCAAATTCACAGGTATTTTACCATTGTATATTTACATTGCATTCAAGGCAATTACCGGGACTTCCTGTATTTAGGCCCACACGGAATTATGCTCATGAGCCTAAAGACAGAAAAATTTTCCTTATTTAGTCCATGGGCATAAACTTGGCTATTAATTTTGGGGGGATCTTCCTTAAATTAAAACCTTACTCCCTTGAAAGTTAATACGTGGCGATGCACTACATATGACAAATGTTAATGTGCATTCAACGGTAAGTGCAAGTTCAAGTTCGGCATTCTATGAAGTCACTTCCTGTTCAAATGCAAAATCCATGTATTATATTTTCTCAGTTAAAACAATTTAACAGTTTCTGATTTTTTCAGCAAAGGGCTTCCCTATTCAGATAAGAAAGCTTAAGATGCCAAAATTGAGCCCATGGCTTAATTTCGGATAAATTATTTTAAAGGAGAAAGTGCTATTTTCCTTAGTTAGGCCTGGGGCTTAAATACGGGAAGTCCCAGTAATGTCTCTTCCTCATAAATGGTCCTGTTAGTGAAATACAAGTTACCTCTACATCCGCTATGTCAGTAGAAGTATAATTTGAGGAAAGTTTTATTCCAAGTTGGAAATATTTGGTGACACTGGCTGCAGACTTGGGGCTGACCATCGGACTCTGAGCAGACTCAGATAAATCCCTGCCTAGTCTGGACCAGACAGTGACTGATACTGTGAACTAGGGCTGGCACGGGTAACTCGGGTACTCGGGTACTCGGGTCGGGTGGGTACTGAGCAGGACCCGGGTACCCACAGGTCTACCCGGACCCGTGGTTAGTCACGTGATATATTGTTTAATGACAAAAATGATCTAGAACTCTATGTTTAAACTACAAGTCACTAGTTTTTCGCAGTTCTTTCTGATAACTACGCCCATTCCTTCTAACCTTTTTATGTTTGAATAAAACTAAAACTTCACTCAACTTCAGTGTATGCATGATCAGATCAATTTATACCTGTATCTAAACACATTTTGCCTGGGCTACGGTCAAACCAATTGGACAGTTTGTACCTACCCCTTGAGACCTACCCGGGTAGGGTAGGGTAATAGGGGGTTGGGTACCTGGGTAGTAAATTTTGACTCGTCCCAGCCCTACTGTGAACAATGTTCCACATCAGCCTGGTACAATGACACATCATCTACCTCAACATAATGTGAAAGAAAGCCCAAATTGATGCAGGTCTTAGATGTTGACCACTTCAGTGGAACCCAAGGGTATAGTGCTAATAGAATGTATCACAGTCAGGGGAATCTGGGATTTGGATTGCAATAAATACTGGTTGGCTGGTTGGTTGGTTTGTTGTTTAACGCTGCACTCAGCAATATTCCAGCTATATGATGGCAGTCTGTAAATAATCGAGTCTGGACCGGACAATCCAGTGCTTGACATCATGAGCATCGATCCAAGCAATTGGGATCAATGACATGCATCAACCAAGTCAGCAAGCCTAACCACCCGATCCCGTTAGTCGCCTCTTACGACAAGCATAGTCGCCTTTTATGGAAAGCATGGGTTGCTGAAGACTTATTCTACCCTGATCTTAACGGGTCAATGATTCCTGGTAGGGCAAAGGGAGGCAACTATGCACACGGAAACAAACAAACAATATTCTCATACATCAGATGTAATTTCAGATTTATTAATCTCAACAGGTCAAGTTATGTTGATTGTATTTAAACAGACGGTTTTGACAGTAGCCATGGTGAGTATCATTCCTCCAAAAGGTGGGGATGGGGTTTCAATCATTGTGAAACCCTCTTTCATAGGGTTAATAATACTGCCGTTAGGTAGAAAATACATTCTCATAACCAAAACCTTCAAACTTGGCATTCATCAGAGTGACCCTGGGTGTTACATGTGTCACAATAGCAGGAAATACACCTTGTTTCCCTCCAACCTCCATGCGACACAATCATTCAGTCTGCGACTTCAGCCACGAGGCCAGTAGAATGTATTTGGTCCAGTAAGCATAGCTATTAACAGTCCAGTGCTAGAAACTGGTTTGGTCCTAAGCTCCATGAGGTTTATTGCCATAGTATTTGAATCTAGGTCTATCTAGGAATATGATGACAACCAAGTGAGCAAACCTGACCACCCAATCCCATTAGTCGCCTCTTACGACAACCATGGGTTGCTGAAGATTAATTCTAACCCAGATCTTCACGCATGCAAACCATTGAGAATCATCATTACCTGTGAGTGCAAGTCCAACAGCCAGAGCAATGGTGGCCAAAATGACGGCAGCTAGAACACACACGATCACCACCAGCATGAGTCGACGAGAGGCTTTGGCACGTTTGGCCGTAGCATTGTCTGGAAGTCCATTTTCATTGATATCTAATTGAAGCATACTAAATCGGACATGGGGGCGGTCGTCCTCCTTCGTGGTCATGTCTTTAGGAATCTCATAATCAACAGGTAGAAGCCTGGGTTGATGTTTGCCTGCATCTGAAAAAAGATTCTGGTTACTAGAGATCCAAGCACCTGCAGACAATGATACAGCAGAATCTCAGTTCTTATACCAAACATTTTGACTTTAAGTTCTATCTTTCCTCAATATAAGAATCATCGCCTCATTTGAGTAAATCTGAACATAATTCATGTACAGGCTTTTGGTACAGGCTGCGATGCAACACAGTCGACTATACATGAGATATGAGCATGATGAGTGAGCCAGTTCGGTTGATGCTGGTTTGAACAGTATTCCAGTTATATCCCAGCATGTCAGCTTAATGCGAGAGGAAAGCCCAAAATGATGCAGGTCTCAGACGTTTACCACTTTGGTGAAACCAACGAGCATGGTGATCGTGCTATCCAACCTAGAAACATAATTGTGGGGGACCAGAATTTGAATCCACAACCATAGGTTTCTGGCATGCCCAAAGGATGCAACTCTGCACATCGACTTGCAGCACCTTATACGACTAGGCTACCCATGCCCCCATGACATGACATATGAAATCTGATATATATACCAAAACATCTGATAAGATAGCATAGCTACAATAGCTTGGTTCTGAGACTGGTTCGAATAACACAACACAAAAATTCCAATCAAGTTTCACTATTCTTCAATGATTGAGTCAAGCAGTGACATCAGTAATATTCTACTCGCTTTAATTTGTGCTGTCTCAAATACAGCTGCAAACATCCTGTAGCAATAGGGCATTCATAGTTGGTCTTATAACTAAAGAAAACATCTTTTCCACCTAAAAATATTTTCAGATGAAATAAATCAATCACTTGTTCATATGAACCCACAATTTTTAATGTAGACCTGTGCCAAAATCTTGTTAAAAAGAATCCTCTTGATTGATTGCTGATTTCAAGCTCCTAAGCGAGAGATATCTGTGCTAAGTTTGTGATAAGACTGTGGTGGGATAATGACGAAGGATAACAGAGGATGCTCTAACACATGATGCACCATATATCACACCTTTCTCTGCAGTTATCACATAACGATCCTATGATAAAATAGTCTGAGACTGATATATCAAACTGAATAGATAAATACATTTTTACAAACTAAATTCTTATTCAAAATGACTCACATTTACAAAAACCTTAAGATATAACAGTTTTTGCAAACAGATATTAATGGTCCTAGTGGTCAATCCAGACAGGACTGTTCCCTGTGAAATCATACAGATTAAAAGATCTCAGCATTCTGTTTATTGTGTTTGTTTGTATGTTGTTTTATTCTGCACACAGCAATATCCCTGCCATATGATTGCAGCCTGAAAATACTGATTCTGGATCAGACAAATGAGTGATTGATATTATGAGCAATACCCCAAGCAGTCATTTAAACAATAATCTTAACCAGTTAAATGTGACTAAAAAGTGACGATCTCATTCTGTTTCACTGTACTAGCACATTCACTTTAACAAGATTAAAATGACACAATACATTCCTTAGACAGTCTTAAACCAGTACATATAAAGAAAGTCCCTCTTTCACTGTCTGATGCCCATTGTCCGACGTCTCCATGTTATCATGGTATTTATCAACTGTTTCACTTAAATACCAAGTCTGACTTCATGAATGTTTGACTTAACTGACAAAGAAAATCTGAAACAATCTGGGTTAGAAATTAATTCATATTTTCACAAGTCCACAAAAAATGATTGGCAACAAAGTAAATTACCATCTACCTAACGGTAAAACTGGTAGCCTACAATGATATAGATCTATCACCAAATAGTGAAATAATAATAATAATTAACTTTCTGAATTTTACTGGTCGTAGACTTGCGGACTTATGTTAATTTTGAACCTTGAATAACTTAAATCCAAATGGAATGCTAGTTTGACAGAGCATATTTCTGTAATGTTGTGACTATGATCATGCAGTTACTCACGTGGCAATGATTTCCCTACTGATTATTATCAACACCTACAGCATCATAAAAACAAATTATGTTATGGGTAATGACATACAATTTGAAGCATGGAGTGGACACAAAACGCACCAACCTACCTGACAATACTCAGTGACGTACTGCATCTATGGATAAGCCATGTCATCACACAAAAAAATATCATCTGCTAAAAGTCAACAGAAATGCCTGTGAAACCGCAGAGAAAGAGCTAAATCAACTGTAACAGAAGTCTTATATGTGGTGGCAAAGCGACACCCAAATCAAATGACAATTAACCTCATTTGGGGCCCCGCTGTCATGGTCACCTGCCCTCACCAAGTGTTCGGCCCCTTACGTTCTGGTTGAGCTGTAGAGTCTTGAGAAATGTGAGAAATATTTCCCTTGACACCGTAAAAAACGACTTATAATATATACATAGAAAGAATACGAGCTTCAAGTCGCACTTGTCATTTTATGATGGGTACATAGGCAACAGTACACTTCACATAGTCGGCAGGGACCCCCTATGGGTTTCTATTCGCACAGGTATGTGACCCTTAACCTCTGGAATGTCAACTATGCAGACGCCGTAACCTGACATAAACAAAGTCAAACGTGACAATAACTTAAGCGTTTTCACATAATCTGATAATTACCATGCTAGAGTCGCCGTATGTCGACAAACACTTGTTTGGAATCGGATAGGGTGTACTTTTCGAAGCATTATCAGTGGAGTGTAACTATCTTGTTGATATCTGCGTCTGCACATGGAGGACTCTTCAGTCACATTTGATTTTGCCTCCACCCACCTGTCGGTACTTACTATTAGTAAATGCACTTTTGTGTACCCAACGTCAGACGAACAGATCTCCCGCGAACGCAGCCTCGATAACAACTATACTGCAGTATTTTAAAATTTATAAATCTTGCTGTTGGGCGTTTAGTTTCCTGCATGTAGTATGAAAGCATGAAAACATGAAAACAGAAACCTTTATTTGCTTATGAACCAAGACCTGTATGAATGGTGTCTGATCAATTTGACAATTTGACAAATTTGCAGTTATTTCAAGAAATATCCAATCAAACACAATGAAATTTTCTAGGACAAAGGTGTTTATCGCGCATTTGATACCTCTAAACATCATTTGAAACCGAACGCGTTGGTGAGTTTATGCCTCTGATTATGCTACACACATTTACATCCACATACTCAATCTCTAGCACGTATTTGTGCACACATTTACATCTACATACTCAATCTCGAGCACGTATGTGTGCACACATTTACATGTTCAGTCTCTAGCACGTATGTGTACATACATTTACATGTTCAATCTCTAGCACGTATGTGTGCACACATTTACATGTTCATCTCTAGTACATATGTTTGCACACATTTACATGTTCAATCTCTAACATGTATGTGAGAACACATTAACATGTCCAGTCTCTAACACGTATGTGTGCACACATTTACATGTTCAATCTCTAGCACATATGTTTGCACACATTTACATGTTCAATCTCTAACATGTATGTGTGCACACATTAACATGTCCAGTCTCTAACACGTATGTGTGCACACATTTACATGTTCAATCTCTAGCACATATGTTTGCACACATTTACATGTTCAATCTCTAGCACGTATGTGTGCACACATTTACATGTCCGGTCTCTAGCACGTATGTGTGCACAAATTTACATGTTCAATCTCTAACACGTATGTGTGCACACATTTACATGTTCAATCTCTAGCACGTATGTGTGCACACATTAACATGTCCAGTCTCTAACACGTATGTGTGCACACCTTTACATGCTCAATCTCCAGCACGTATGTGTACACACATTTACATGTTCAATCTCCAGCACGTATGTGTACACACATTTACATGTTCAATCTCTAGCACGTATGTGTACACACATTTACATGTTCAGGCTCGACCACGTATGTTTGCACACCTTTACATGTTCAATCTCCAGCACGTATGTGTACACACATTTACATGTTCAATCTCCAGCACGTATGTGTACACACATTTACATGTTCAGGCTCGACCACGTATGTTTGCACACCTTTACATGTTCAATCTCCAGCACATATGTGTACACACCTTTACATGTTCAATCTCTAGCACGTATGTGTACACACATTTACATGTTCAGGCTCGACCACGTATGTTTGCACACATTTACATGTTCAATCTCTAGCACGTATGTGTGCACACATTTACATGTTCAATCTCTAGCACGTATGTGTACACACATTTACATGTTCAATCGCTAGCACACATTTACACACACATTTACATCCACATATTCGATCTGTAGCGGGTCTTTTGGGTAGAGTCATGTTTTTTTCTTCACTTTTAGAGCCTGAGGTTTTGTTTGCTTCATAAAAGAGAGCTGAGATTTCACATTTCAAATTCAAAATATGGAAAGAATGTTAACATTTACTCACTTTTCACTAAAACGGTTGGGATGTAGGTGATTTTAAAACAGTACATTGAAAATAGAAGTATAATAAAGAATTTTTATATAACAAAAGACCATTTTTACAACACCATGTTTTGGAAAAGCCAAGCGTGCATTTTTTTTCAGATTGGCAGAAAATGGTCAACTTGACATACTCGAGGAATGTACATTTCAATTACTAAGATTGTGGATGATGGACAATTATAACATACATTTTGATGTTAACTGAAGAAGAAATGTTACTAAACTGAAATTTGGACACAGAATAATGTTACAAAAGGGTTGAGAACCAATCGCCCAAACACAACCAAAACAATTTGCTGAGTAATTAATATACGTGCTACAGTACCCACATCAATGGAACTTGAGTTTGAAGTGAAACTTTGGCTGCACTTACAGCATGCCAAACTACAAAGATATGTGTATAAAATCAACGATTTACTGTTCATTCTCACCCAAGCAGTTGGACAGCAGCATGCTAAGATTAACCCTCCAACAGCTAGAGAGCAGAAGCTGTTGGTGTGATACATCTAGGAGCATCACATGACCACGTCGCAAGGAGTATTGGCTGTACCCTACTGAAAGTCACCAGACGCAGAGAGCAGATTCACGCTTTTCCAAGCAGATGGAAGAATTTGTGTCAACGTTCGAGAAGGAGAACATTGTTGCATTTAAGATGTCAGCCGTTTGAGGTGGCAGCATCTGTAGTCCTATCAATGCGGCATCATTTGGCCTGCAATGTGGCATCATTAATCGTATCAATGAAGCATCTGCAGCCAAATCAAGACAGATCTGGTGATTTGGGGAGGAACCATCACGGGACTGCATTACATTGACCAATCTCTGTACCCTTTTGTTTTACCTTTCTTGAAACCGTCGTCAAATTAGAGCACGGCCAGGTCGCCCTTATAAGGATCAGTTTGCACAGGCACCCTGAAAAGAGTGATGTGAAATCCCATTTCTTGTGATCAGACGTATCACATCTTCTCTTGCCGAACTAGGCTGGAATTCTTGGGCTTGATCGTAGCGCCACCAGTGGCTATTACCAGTTATGTCCCTTCTAAACCTCTCCTATGGACCAATCAGATTCCACCTCTCGTATCACTTGCGTTTGCTTCACACAAAATGGTGGCGCCCAGTCAGGACGATCTGATCGACAATCAAGTTCTCTAACTCCATAATACCAGCCTCGTTCGGCAAGGGTGGAAACAGGACTTGTATAGTCGGTTTACTCTCTTGCCTCGGGAAGATGCCAAACTGTGGACACAATACCTTAGTTTTTGTTTTCATTCATGGTATAACTTGTAATGATGTTGATACATAATTTATGTCTTTTGACAATACAAGTATGTTGATGTTGATTTTTAACTCCAAGTAAGGGTAAATGATGCAAAATGGGCTTTTCACATCACAGTCAACAACTGTTTCAGTCATATTACAGCGGGACATGTGGAGTGGATAACCTTGTCCAAGGATACGACATCGTTACTTGCATGATTAACATCTTGAAATGGAAAGTATGAAATGATTATTAATAGATATTAATAAAGTGTTACAGGCAATCTCATTAAAATCAGATCTTAGTTCTCGCTACCGCTAAACAAAGATCTGAGGACATCCCATTACGGGTCACGTCAGACCGACCTTGCGCGAACTTTGACCGACTAATGGAATGACCAATCAGAAGGCAGCTTTCTCGTGCTTTACGGCACTAATTTCAAATTGGCGACTACGCTTCGAAACATATTTTGACAAATTCTCGATTACAAATTTGAAACCTGAACAAAAGAACATTCTGGAATGGCTAATAGATGGTCTAGATTGTATGGATATAGTCGTTAAACCCGTAACTATCGTTCGGAGTTAAAATTTTCGAGGCTGCATGATCAGAAATCACATTCCGACTGTCACTTTCATAATCTGGTAAGCGATGCTCTCATTGGTCGGATGAAAGGTCGTTCTGACGTGACCCGTAATGGGATGTCCTCAGATCTTTGTTTAGCGGTAACGAGAACTGAGGTCTGATTTAAATGAGATTGGTGTTACAGGCATACTGTCTATCATGCTCATGTATGGGTATCAAATACTATGGCTTTGCTCATGAAATGCTCTGTATTGTGCTGAGGATGGCCAAATGCCGTCGAGCTTTTTTTTTGACAATGTGATTTATTTGTTCAAGCAGATGGAAGATGAGCTTTTATTTACTTATTTACCCCTTATTAAATGTTGTTTTACGCCGGTGGCAGCAATATTTCAGCCTTATCGTGGCGTTCTGTAAGTACGCTACTCTCGGCTAGGCGCAGCATTGTTCGATAGTATATGGACAGGACTCCATACTGTCCGGTACGACAACACAGCTTCACTCACAGTCATTGTGACCACCCGATCCTCATTTTCGTCGGCTCTTAAAAATTACAGCATGCATTGAGCACTTGGGACCCGAGATCCACACGACTCTTTTTGTTGTTTAATTTTGTGAAGACAGGGAATTTGTAGCTTTCTATATTCGGGTCAAAGTTTCTTGTTTCTGCTTGAACGTGTTAAAATATAAACGTAAAAATTCCTCCCTTTCAATCCCTTTGAAAACAATACGTCCGGAAAATCATGTGGAGTTGTCATTGTGAAGCCTCTGTTTCTTGTTTATCGTGCAACACACGCAGCCAGACATACGTGAGTGCATGGGCTGTTACAAGTCATGATCGAGTCAGCCTGGCACACTAAAGGCGACACCATCCCGCGGTGGTCAGGCTGGCTGCTTGCGTGTCGCCGTGTCGCGATGTCGTGGACCGTTGCTCATGCTTTTGTAGCGGCCATAAAACGTCCGAGTCCCGTGATGGGATTCGAACCACGGGCCTTCTGATCCTTGTCCACATGACCAAAGAGGTTGACCCGTCAGCCAGCTGACAAGGTAAGGTTTGTTGTTTAACGCCGCACTCAGCAATAATCCAGCTATGTGACGGCGGTCTGTAGATAATCGAGTCTGGGCCAGACAATCCAGCGATTAATATCATGAGCATCGATCCACGCAATTGGGATCGATGACATGCATCAACCAAGTCAGCGAAGTCATTTTTGGGATGACTCCACACCCTACTACACTTTCAGTCACTGATGTGCTGGGTCCAGACTCAATGGGAATAATGATACACGTGTTGCATAGGACTTCAGAGTTCCAGAACATTAACAAGAATGGTACCCCTTAGAGTAATTCATCTTCATTTCGGATTGAACGGTTATTCTTTACGTTTGAAGAAGTGAGTATTTAAATTTATTATCCTCGGGGAAACGCAAAACGATCACAATTTTATTTTACAGCACATTTATCTCAATTCGCGTACATTTGTTATGTGCCATGAAGACAATGGTGTTGTGTGGCAAAGTTTGGCATCAATAAGAAACCGCGATGGATTTGTGTTCGTTACAGAGTTGCAATAGTAGTAGTTCCGTCTCTCGACGAACTCCTCACGCACCTGTTAACTTCCGGTAAAGAAACGTGCAGACGCTCTTTCCGTTGTTGAATCATCGCATGGCCTACTTTTCTTTACGAGTTGTTTCATCTTTCATGTTACCTTTTGTGGTATGAATATGATATTGGTCAATACGGGTTGGGCGGTATGCATCCGTTACGTAAATAGCCAAAGGAAACGAACCACTGACTCTTAAGGCTGAGGACAAGGCCTATCCTTACATAGACTCGTGTTTGTAGCCTGGCTGTGGTTGTCTAGGCGTCTAACCAAGGTTCAGACCGGGGCCAGTCATTGATAGTATCGAATGACATGTATCAATATGGTCAGCGAGCCTATATAGAAGTGAAGTTCTGATAAAACAGAATTATTCTTGATACCAAAAAAAAATAATTACCTCTTAAAACAACCTTATTTCCTGTTTTACTTCTCGGTCTTGATAATAATGTTTGATACAGCAAAACTACTCAAAACATAACAGGTCGTATACTATAAGCGCCCTGCTCTAAGTAAGCAACTCCTGACCAACTTCCTGGCCAATATGTACTTAATGCGCTCACCGTACTCAGCCAGATAATGAACAGGACCGTCCGTATTTTTTGTGTTCAGGTTTTTAAAAAAACCAAACACTGCAGAAGTGGTATATACAATTGCCTAGAAACTATTATTGATTTGTTTTTGGTTTCATTGATGTCGGGACTAAATCTGTTCTCTACGTCTCAATCTCTGACAACAAATGTAACTTGTACATGATACTAATTAATAAGCGCTCCTGTTTGTCAAGTCAGGGAAATTATAAGTTAGCCGTGTAGACCTCAAGGACCCCATCTCCTCCCTTCCCCATCGCCTTAATTTAAAAAACTGTGCAAATAAGAACTGAGTCATTTTACCAGCAAATTGATGGAAATAGTTTGTTGTTGTTCAGATACTGACCAGAGAGGATGACAATGAACAACGAATCGCCATTTTCTCACCTGAAGATCGACAACTTTCACAGACTGGATGAAGTGGAAGGACGAACAACATGTGCAAAATGTAACAAATCTCGGAAATACTTCTGCTACACTTGTTACAGTCCAATCTTGGGCCTAGAAGAACTGACTCCCAGAGTTCGGGTATGGGATCACAGATTCAATAGTATTCTTTATTCCACTATTTTGGTAAAAGCGACTGTAGCTTTAATATACAAATTATTGTTGCCTGAAAATTTATCATAATATTGTGATGAGATTTGATATGGAGTGTACTCCTTGACAGATTAATTGATCTTTTTTGTTTTGCTGGGTACACAACAAACCACTTGTTAATACAGACAAAGATCTGATGCTCTTTTGATGCATATTGTTTTCAAAAGAAAGTCAACTGTCATTTTACAACTGCTATACATCTCAACCCTATTTTCTTGAGTATAGTGCGCCCTTTTTTTTCCATCACCCGTTCGTTTACCGGAATTCGCTGAAGGGGTACGGATTAATTTTTTTCTGCACATAATATTCGAATTTTCTTTTTTTCCAAAATTCTGAATCCTGTGTGAATTATACTTGGGTGCGCACTGTACTCAAGAAAATACGGTAATTTGGAATGAAAGGAAACCAGACATTATTTGTGTAAAGAATATTTCTAGACAGAATTTCTTTTTGTTTTAATTTTAAGTTAATGTTTTTTTAATGTTCAGAAAGTTAATTGGTCCCTCTTCAGATGGTAGAATTTAGATATTTGTAAGAGTGAGTGAATACGGTTTTACGCCGCTTTTAGCAATATTCCAGCAATATCACGGCGGGGGACACCAGAAATGGGCTTCACACATTGTACCCATGTCGGGAATCGAACCGGGTCTTCGGCGTGACGAGCGAACGCTTTAACCACTAGGCTACCCGACCGCCCCTGATATTTGTAAGAGAAAAAAATTGTGTTCTGTGCTTCTGAAAAATCACAAGATATCAACAATGGTTATCATTGAGAACATACAACACATTTTTATTGCAAATGTTGGGATTGTGTATGCGCCGGTGATGGGCTTCATTCCGATTCGCTTTATAGATGGGGTATATAAATTAGCATCAATTTTTAAGGCTTGTACACAGGGGTCTCCTTATACGGATCGCATTATAGACAGCGATAAATGTTAATCATGGTTATTCAAAATCACAAGCCATTTGAATGTATTCTTTTCATGTTTCATATATTTCATATTTGGTTTCATTTCATTCAGCTGCCATTAAAGGTTGATGTGATTAAACATCCCTATGAACGAGATGGCAAGAGCACAGCTTGTCATGCAGCAGTTATTTCCCCTGACGTCAGCATCCACATCTTCCCAGTAATACCAGACTATGACAAGAACAGAGTAAGCAGCCTTCTTCATGCAGTCACAGGGCAGAAATCAGAGCCATTCTTGTTAGCATGATAAGTCTCTTAATCTTTGACAGGAGTTTAGAGAAGGGCTATGTTCCACTGTCTGTGTTATGTCCTTGTGCTTTGTGAAACTGAGGGTCTCTGTGTAGTGTGGGTAATTCTGTGTAGTGTGGGTAATTCTGTGTAGTGTGGGTAATTCTGTAATGGAGAAATCACTTGAATCTGTTGATTCCGGAAGTAGAAGGGGTTCGTGTTTCCATCATTCAGAATCCTTGGACTCCTCATCTTCCTGGGGCAAGGGAGTTAGCTGACTATTAAGACGCCACCCTTGCCAAACTAGCCTGGAATTCTGGAGTTACATTTTGAATGGACTAACGAGTCTATGGATAGTCCAATTAGAATCACATAATGAACTAGAAATCTGGTTCGGGAAGAACATGGGTTTTAATGTGCAAATTTTGGTTGACTGCAGGATTTGAAAAGCATGTGTACAATCAACGGGGCGTTAACATAATTTTCTAAATCCTTTCATGTTTAAATGAGGGCGTTCAAATGATTTGATGCACTTTGTGAGGTAAGACCCGTTTGAGTACAATATAGGTCTTGATTATCGATCAGATCGGCTTGACTGGGGGCCACCATTTTGTTTGAAACAAATGCAAGTGATATGAGAAGTGGAATCTGATTGTCAATAGGAGGGACATAGAAGGGACATAACTCATTATAGCCACTGGTGGCACTACGATTGAGCCTGGAATTTCCAGCCTAGTTTGGCAAGGGTGGAAATTGGTATTTTGTAGTCAGTTAACGCCCTTTCCTCGGTAAGATGTGGACACCTATAGAAATTTATCTTTAGCCTCCCATCAAAATTTTTTAGCGTCAAATATTTATCATTTGTGCTTTTGCATTGGAATGTTGTATTGTCCAGAATCTGCATCCTTAGAATCATAAAATGTTTCTGCTAATTTGTCAAGGTTTCTATTTTCGACACACTCAATTGATTCATACCCCAGATGCACAATCTGTATCACTTTTGTCAGACATTACTTGTGTTTCCTGGTGGGGATGCTGTTCAACTGAAAGACTTGGCAGCCTCAACTCAACGGTCCTCGCTGACGGACCCTGACGCAAGTAAAGCAGGTATGTGATTGATTCAGGCCTTCCTCTCTATTGTAGTGTAATGAAGATAAACTGGTGTCATTAACATCCATATCTTGTAAGAATTTTCGCAATGCAAAGTGAAAACAAAAAGATAGATCATAAAAGCGTATTCCTTTCAAACAAAGCCATATGTATTGATGGATACGCGTACCTCTTCTTGTGGAAGCAAAAGCCCCGGCAACTGAAACACTTAGTTTGTTTCTATGTAAAAAGTTTGTAAAATGGTGAATTGGCACTACTTCTGAAATGTAATGCATGAAGAAAATGGCACACATGGGCGAAGCTGGAGAGGTTTGCAAGATTTGTGATGGGTCATCAAAATAGAATAATGAACATGTCTACGAAACTTTAACTGACAGGGATTGTTTTACAAATTATTCTTCACGGAAATGTTAACATTGATGAATGTTTTATTCCATACATTGAAAACTAAGTATTGTGGGTGGAAATTAGGAAACACTTTGGGATTGTGTGGAGGCAAATCCCTTGCCAAACTACATTCACATGCTTGTCTTCACTGGAAACACAAAAGTTGGCTGTCCGTTATGCTAAGATTGACAATAAATACCACATATTGATACTTGGGCCCTTCTGGACACTAAATCAATCACATTAATATGAAAAATAATTACAAATAGACATAGGACATTGGAAAATAAAACTATAACATGTGCTGAAATTACTTTTGTCCGCCATTGTCTTTTTGTTGCAATTCCAGAAATGGTTTTGTCGGTCAGCTAAGATAATACAAGATCATTCACGGAAATGATCAACATGTTTCTATTGCAAACGTATCGCTGGTCCACAAGTGGTTGTGCCAGTGTTCCTCTGCGGATGTCTTTATACCCTATTATATTCAATTTGTCCACATTTTTACAACTTTCAGATCAAATAATGCAGCCTTATAACAAATGCGTTGGTAATTAAAAACACACGTCTTAACTCCAAAATGAAGTGGTTAATCCATGACTTTAAAGGTTCAGTTCTACACCCCACGTCACAATAATCATCACTTTGACTCTCATTGTGACACTTAAGCTCACAGAGACACAGAGAGTGCCAAATTTTAAGCTTTCTGTTGTCCCTAAAACTTTGTATATGCACTTTTTGTCGATTTCTATTGTGCCCAAACTTTATTGTCCCACACTCTTTAAAGATTGTAGTAACAGCAACTCTGCATTTTGTAACCCATAACTGTACATATCATGATTTTAAAATGTCTACTGACAATGAGTGAAAAGTATTTGTTCTTAAAATAATAGCTTCTGTCGTGGTGTGGGCGTCAAATAAGCTTGTTCAATCACATGTGGTTCTTGTGATTTGAAATCTCTGATTGACCAATCACAATCAACTGTTTTCCAAAATCATGGTAGAATAATCACTCATCAGATTGTAATTGGCCATTTTCACTTTATATTTTATTGTGATGAATACTGGGCAGTGCTGGTGAGTGGAGATAACAGAACAAGGGAGGTAACTCCTGTAACCTTAAGTCTCCTTCTGAACCTGACATTCTGATTGTGTGTATTGGTTACATTGAATGTCCAATTTGTTTTGGATATCAATGTATTTCATTCTATAGCACTTTCAGCTTCAGACAAATGTGAAATCGAAGAAAACACCGAATGTGACAACACACATCATCCAGATTCCAAGAATATTAAAGACAGATTATGCTCAAGTGATAACATTCCTCCCTGTCAGGCAAATGGCAGTACCACGATAGTTCCCCACAACAGTCCGCCGAACAACCAGTTGTCATCAGAAGATGCGGGTGGACCTAATAGTGATAGTCTGGAGGAGGAGGCCAAGGTAGCTTCAGCTCCACCATTCGATCGTGTCGTCTTCATCGACTCAACATGGAACCAAACTTACAGAATCTCACAGGATGAGAGGCTAAATGGTAGGATACAAGGCTTCTCAAATGCCAGGCCTTCAATGTGAACATATATGGTTAAATGCAGTGACTCTACATCACGCTGCCTTTGGACAGCTGTCCAACTTCTTACCACATTACACAATGTTTCTGCCGATATATGATAGTACCACTGGTATACAATGCTGATACACGATACTTCCACTGGTACACATTGCTACTGACACAATGCTTCTGCTAATACACAATTCTATTGACTCACAATGCAACTGATTCATGATGCAACTGACTCACAATGCTACTACTAATTCACAGTGCTACTGACTAACAATGCTACTGAATCACTATGCAACTGACACAACTGATTCACAGTGCAACTGACTCATGTTGCTAATGACTAACAATGCAACAGACTCACATTGCTATTAACCATGGTAGTAACAATGCAACTGACTCACAATGCTTCTGACTCACAATGCTACTGACTAACAATGGAACTGACTCACAATGCAACTGACACACAAAGCTATTAATTCACAATACTGACTCACGTTGCTAATGACTAACAATGCAACAGACTCACATTGCTATTAACCATGGTAGTAACAATGCAACTGACTCACAATGCTTCTGACTCACAATGCTACTGACACACAGTGCTACTACCAGTACAAGTCAGCCAGTCTAGCTAGATAATGTTTTACAGTTTAAGTTGATTAGTTGAATAGTACAGGGAGAAATCTGGTAGCAGACAGAAAAACTGTATTACAAATTTCAACAAGATTATAGCTTCTAGCAAGACAAATGTTACAGCACATCCCACAAGTCAGAAAGGAATCAGCCATTTAAAATCTAAGGTTCTGTTTGGCAGGAATTTCCTTTCTTGTTTCAAACTTTCACATTTGAATAATATTATCATAGCTCATGCCACAGAAAAGGAAGTTAGGCAGTCCAACTCCATGTACCTACATTGTATTGTCTCTAACCAGAAAGAGAAGAACTATGACAGCCACTTATCTCACCCTGGCTCCTACTGATACTCCATGCATACTCTCCGTTACAGGTTTGCGTAAGGTGGAGCTGCAGAGTCGGACCACCAACTTCTGGAGAAGTCACCGAGGCAACCCTGAGACCTACCTCTCCACAATAGAAGCCATCTATTACTTTGTGTGTGACTACCATGAACTATTCCTCTCAACAGCCTATGAAGGACAGTATGACAATCTCCTCTTTTTCTTTGCGTGCCTTCATGAAAAAGTAAATAGTGCAAAAAATAAGAAGAAAAATAAAATCAACAATGTTGAATGAAGTTTGCCATAAAGTGTTTTTTAATTTTTGTGAGAGATTGGTAATGATCATTCGTCTTGTTACCATTGTGTGACATCGTATCTGACATGATGCATGACCTGATGAAGGGGAGCTCAAGGTAACCCTTGCAATCTTTTGCCCCCAAAATATTGAATTTACAAGCTTGATTTATTGAAGGTACAAATATTGTTATTAATATTGTGCAAGTAATAATCACCTTTTTCCAAATAAATTCAATTTCTCGAAGTGTAAATTCATGTCAGGTTTGGTGTGACCTTTAATATCTGAACTGATTAAATGGTTGCAAAACATTTGTGGCTCATTATTGAGCTTGCATTTTTGTCTATTTGTAAAATTTATAGTTCTTATTGAGAGGAAAACATTTCATTAAAAATGTGTTCTTATTTTAATAGGAAAGTTTCTGTTAAATACAAGTAAACCCAATTGTTTTAGTACACAGATCAGCTATGGTTCTCAGTCAGGAAAACACTTCCAACTTCAGATGAGGTGAAGCGAAGGTGCAGTGAAATGGGGTTCAAAGTCGCGTTCAAGATTATTGCACTTATAAAGTGATGTGCGTGCATGTGTGTGTGTGTGTGTGCGTGCGTGCGTGCGTGCGTGCGTGCGTGTGTACTAGTCCAGACTAAGTCTGGTTTTATAGTGCTAGCCCACTGAGATACCATGCTGCAGTTTAACATGAATACCCCATTCAGACACAGTATGCTCACTCCGAGCCAACCGGTCCTTGTATTAGCCCTCTAATGCTGAGTACCAGGCAAGGTAACAACAAGTACCATCTATTAACATCTTTTGGTATGACACGTCCGGGGATCAAACAATTTGAGTTTCTACACATATAGGTTACACTCTGTTTTGAAACATTATTAAATTAAGAAACAAGGGATAGAATCTGTGCACATAATTTGACAAACAAAGCTACATGTATATGTGTTTCAGAAAATACTGTAAAACAATCATTGCTGGACATTTTGAACCAACCAAAATATCAAAATGCACTTCTTTAATTCACAACTTAATCACCTGTGGCCTAACTATTGATGTAACATTACAATATCCTTGAGAAATCGCCAGTTAAACACTGTATTTCATCACATTTTTATTTGTGCAAATATAATAGTTTATTTTGTATTTACTCACGTTAAGTGGGGTGTGAGACAGCTATACTCACATCTCCTTTGCGTAACGATCACTAGCCCAATAGTCCCTTGTATGTATATTGACTGATACACCTCAGAAGGTGGGGGTATAACGGTAACAAGAACTACCAGTACGACCAATTGTTACAAGATTGATCATTACCGATCTGTCGCAATAAAAAAACAACTAAAAAAACAAACACGGCAAACTTCATTCAACCTGCAATTTCATGAAATGTATTATTTTCAAAGAAAGACAAAAGAAATATTTTTGTTATAGTCATTGATTGTATTCTTTTTGTTACATAGCCCAGAACTGTGAATTTAACAAATAGACAAACGTGCAAGCTTAATATTGAGTCACTAATGTTTTGCAACCATTTAATCAGTTCAGTTTTGAAGGTCACACCAAACTTGACATGAATTTACTCTTCGGGAAATTGAATTTATTTCGGAAAATGGTGAATATTATTGCACAATATAAATAACAATAATTGTACCTTTAATAAATCAAGTTTGTAATCTCATGGGGCGAAAGATTGCAAGGGTTACCTCCCCTCCATCAGGTAATGCGTCATGTCGGTTCGGTGTCACAACGCCCAGCAAGCGAGGGGAAAAAGACAAGTCTAATCAGGTCGGATGTTTCATAACTGACCTGGAAGAGCTACTGTTTCGCGGCTTTAAGTTGTGCAATAATCCAACGACTGTCATCCCCAGTTGCGACATAAAAATGCAACGGTCGAGGTTATTCAATCTTTGATTTAATTTTTTAAATATTTTTTTTTTATTGTTCAGTGCATGGTTTAATAGCTATAGCGAATGTAGTGACCCAAAGGCGTACATGACCTAATTTCATTCGAGATCCTCATACATCGGGCTGATTGTTTACAGTTGCGCAATAGACGCAGTAGTACTTATGTATACATACTTTTTTATTGTATTTAATAATTACGTGAAGACGTGAAATGAATACGTTCATGCCATTCTACACGTGCAGTAAACACATTGCTTCAATCGTGCAATAAAGGATGTCGACAGTTACATTTCTATCGCAGTGCTAGTACGGGCACACCTTTCCAATCGTTCGGCTCGGTCTCATTATTTGTTTTCAGCCAGTAATCTCCATCAGATAAAGCGTCACACCTAGATTATAGTATTATTTGACAGATTGGGACCTGCAGGTCTCAGCACGAGCTTCTGCCGTTACTCCGTTAGTTATGTTTTGTACTCTGTAACCATAGTAACATTCGTACCAATTAAATTTGAAAATTGCACGTGTGAATCCATACCAACCAAAACTGTATAATGCACGCGCGAAGCCCTGTGGCGTCCCCGCAGTGATATAGCAGGAACATTGTTTAGGTTGCGTAAAGCTATACTCACTCACTCACTATATATACAACCCGTCTTCACATATTCTGTTGTTGAGCAATACATAGTGACTGTGTCCATCTACCCTTTTGTAATTGATAAAAAATGTACAGTTTGATATCACTTCATGATTGGTCACTAAGGGGTGTAGAAAAGTAGTCCCGGACCAAGGATATCGAACTCCGGCCAACTGCGCCGTTACCTCGCGTTAAACAAGATCGGACCAGCTCAACCGCAATGAGTTGGACAAACGATAAATATACTGCGCATATTGTCCCTACTCGCTTGTGCAGCACTCGATAACAAAGCTGGCTTGATTCGTGGTTATAGAGGTTCACCAAATCGATAAATATAGTCTTGCAAATCCCGTTATGCATAAATATTGACGAAAGGCGTGACGCAGTTTACTGGATTGGTGATCATGCTCTACTGTATCTAATGATAAATGCGACTTTTGAATTTATAATGGAAACCACAATGTCAAATGATGCGAACGTTAGCAAGCACGTCAACGTCCCTGGAACATCGCAGATAGTGTTCTTTTTCGTTTATTAATTTAGAATCTGTTAAGATGTACAATAATCATACATACATACATACATACATACATACATACATACATACGTGCTTCGCGTTGAAGCAATATACATACATACATACGTGCTTCGCGTTGAAGCAATATACATACATACATACATACATACATACATACATACGTGCTTCGCGTTGAAGCAATATAGCTGCCTGCCTTGTCCTGTCATCGCTTATTACCCATTGTTAGTTTTCGCATTGCATTTCCTGTATTCTGTGTCATTATTTTCCTGTTTGCTCTTCAATGTTGCTTTGTACGACGCAGTTAGCTCATACAAATTGAAAATGTCTCATCACAATTGAATAAACATTCCCAACCTTTATATAAGGGACCCGACTATATATATGTGCACGTATCCTGCCAGTTTCAACAACGTTGATTAAATGGCGATGCCAGAGTATAATAAAAGCTAATTTTATGGTTTGGAAAAATGTTTTTATAATGCAGTACATAACAGATTTCGATATATATATTTTGAAAAAGTAATTATTTTGGAAAATGACTATTATTAACTTTGCGTTGTATCACAGTTGATGCTGACAGTACGAGCAGTGCAAAGTACAGGAAGGTACTATGTGATGTATGTGCACAATGTGATTTAGATTGTCAGGTTATCGCAAGTGTTTCACTTAAGACACTAAGTAACGGAGTTGCGACGGCCATAACGCTTATGTTGATTTGTGGAAGCGGGCCCAGGGACGTGAATATTTACTAATAAATGCAATGACATCCTGTCAACATGTCTCATGTTTCAACCAGCTACTTGCACATGACACTTTTTATCGTTGTATGCTATATGGATGTGAAATGGTAACTTGCGAATAGAAACCTCTATTAGACCCGTGCCATATATCACATTTCTTCGCGATCTTGTTGTGCTGTGGTCTGAGGAACCAGTCCCGTGGGTTGGAATCCAAGATTCGCCCTGTGTCGACCCCGTACCATGCACTGGTCGTGCTTTTCACTAAAGTATAGTAAGCGCCTCCCTGAAAACGGCATTGAACCCCACTGCACACTGTGCCGAATACAAGATTACTGGCGTTGTGATAACGGTTATCGTAATAATGTGTAGGAGGGGAGACATCAATATTGTTTTCGACTCGGTTAATGTCGGCGTCGGCGTTCCCTTCCAATTCCGAGTCATAACTTGAAAACCGTTAAATGGTTTTTTTCAACGAAGCTAGGCATATGCATGGCTCATCAGCGTAACAACATGGTGCATTTTGCTATTTTGATTTTTTTCTAAATTCTATTTTGTTACGTTTCCATGAAAACAGTTTGGACTTTCTCAAACAATTTTAGGTTTCGTTTACCGAGCCATAACTCTCAAACTAAAGAATATGTTTGCATGAAACTATACATGTATATGTATATACACTATACTAGCTCAACTGTGGCCTTTTCATATCTTTCATCTGTTTTAACAATACATTCTAGTTAGATTATACACACGCATAGCAAAGACAGGGGAAGCAAGGCTCGGCATGGATGCAGGCAATACGGTCATTGTAAAACATTCGTATCCATTAAGATGAAGTTTCAGTATCTGGTTCAATCTATAAACATGGCATCGTGGCACTCACTAGGTGGTATGCTACTCTTGGCATGACAGATTAACTAGAGTCATATGACAAAATCGGGTGTTCTTTAATTTCTTTTGAGTAGTATGTGATCATCGTGTTAGATTATTTTATTCTCAAGAACGAAAGGTAATAAGATGAATATAAGCAGCTTAGAATACATCTGACCGCCTCCGTGGTTTAGTGGATAGAGCCCCTGTCTGGAGAGCGAAATGTCGTGGCTCGGCCTGGCTGCGTCACACTAAAAGTCGTTATAAGATGGTACTTTCCCTGCCTGTCGCTCGGCATTAATGGGATAAAACAAGGACTGGTCGGCTCGGAGTCAGTATACCGTGTCTAAGTGGGATATGTATGTTAAACTGCCGCATGATATCTCAGCGAGCTTAGCACTACACAATCTTTTGTTTGTTGTTTAACTCAGCAATATTCCACATATGGCAGCGGTCCGTAACTAATTAGGTTTGGGCCAGACAATCCGGTGATTGACATCACGAGCTTCGATCTGCACAGCTAGGATACGACATGCACCGAGAATACCTCTCCACGTGTTATAAACAGTTATACAGATTTTCAATGTTTAAATATATTCTACAGTACTGTTTTAGACCTAAACAATACAGCCCTACCAGACTATGAAGACTACAGCTTTATCCAGCTCTCTCAATATGTCTCTGAATGAAGATGAGGGCGGTCGGGTAGCCTAGTGGTTAAAGCGTTCGCTCGTCACGCCGAAGACCCGGGTTCGATTCCCGACATGGGTACAATGTGTGAAGCCCATTTCTGGTGTCCCCCGCCGTGATATTGCTGGAATATTGCTAAAAGCGGCGTAAAACCATACTCACTCACTCACTCACTCACTCACTCACTCACTGAATGAAGATGAAGAAAGCTCCCCAAGAGGACTCCCCGACAGTGATTTTATAAGAACGTTTCTTTGTATCATTACTACAGCATACGGCAAATTTCACCTCACGCTTTCGTGTGTGCTTGATGTCACTTAGACATATATTAGATGTTGATACAAATTTGATGTTTGATATTATGATCTAAACCAAACAATTACGGCGAGTCTCGGGATGCCTGCGTAACTGGGTCTGTTGACAAGGACCCGGCACTGACAGGTCACCAGGGAGACTGCTGAGCAAGTAAAAGGAATATTTGGGAGACTCATTGTTACTGATGTGTGTTTTGTTCAAGTGTATGTATCTCGGTCAGAATGGAGGAGGACAATGGAACCAGATTTGATACACTGCTACAGCATCAAAGACGGGAGTCTACACCCCATGCACACGTGGTCGGATGTCATCGTGCTGCAAATCATCGAAAAGAGACAGGAAGCGGGATATTTTGTCAAGAGTAAGTGATGTTTAACACAGCATCAGCAGTATTTTGAAACAGAAACTCGTCCTCTGTTCTCATGCACACTTGCATCCGGGTAACCTCACCGACGACCCTTGGTACCCGGATGGCGCTGTTGCTCTTCCGAGTGACAGTACCTTATGATTGTCGTATGAGCCTATAATAAAAAAAAGGGATCGGAACATCAGGTTCTGTGACTTGACTGATTCCTTGTCATACAGTAGCCCGACCATTTCCTATGGTTTCACACACGGGTTTGCCCGGTCCACTCGACACTGACCGCCGTGCATATATTATCGCAGACTGTGGCGTTCACTCTCTCATTCATGCAAAACATTTTGTTGTTTAACGCCGCACTCGGCAATATTCTAGTTATATGACGGCGGACTGTAAATAATCGAGTCTGGACCAAACAATCCAGTAATTGATATCCTGAGCATCGATCCACGCAATTGGGATGCGATGACAGCATCAACCAAGTCAGCTGAGTCTGACCACCCGATCCCCGTTAGTCGCCTCTTACGACAAGCATATAGTCACCTTTTACGGAAAGCATGGGTTGCTGAAGACTGTGTGTTATCGTGTTCCTCCCTGTGTGTATACTCCCGATCTGACAAACGGTAGGGCCATTGCGCGTTAGTGAGGGTGTGTTGTTGTCGGCTGCTGTCAGCAATGTTAGCGAGCGTCACGGTTAAGTCACGATTCTGCATGGACCATGCAATCAAGTGGCCGACAGCTTGAGCAACGATACATGACGATGACACACAATCAGCCAGTCAGACATTGTTACCAAATGATCCTCATTTGTCGGCTAACATCTAAGGCCTGCACCACTTCGGGCTTTCCTCCCACATCATGTGAGGTGAAATGGGGTTTAACGTCGCCCTCAAGATGATAAATACTTTTATAACCATGTGCTTGTGTGTGTGTGTGCGTGTGCGTGTGCGTGTGCGTGTGTGCTTGTACCAGTCCTGACTAATGCCGGTTTACAATGCCAGCACACTGAGATACCATGCCCCAGTATAACATGTCATAGACGCAGTATACTGATTCCGAGCCGACCAGTCCTTATTTTATCCCCTTAATGCCGAGTGCTACCGTCTTTTGGCATGACACGGCCGGGGACAGAAAACGGACTTGCCGCTCTCCTAGCAGAACCTTTAACCACTGGACCACGGCGTTCCCCGCCCACACGACGGCATGTCACCTCACCGTTAGACCCAACTCACAAGTCGGCTCTTGTGACAAACATGGAGGAATTGGGGAATCCCCTGCGACGGAGCCCTTCGATAATCTGTGTTACAGAATGACGTGGGGGTCCTTGAGGCAATACACTCTCCTGAATGACATAGAACTGGCGGAAACGATTACAGCGGGTGTCATTCCCGAAGATTGTCTTCACAGCCGAAAACTGTCTCCGGCATGACGTTTTTTGTCCAGACTCGATTATTTACAGACCGCCGTCATATGGCTGGAATATTGCTGAGTGCGGCGTAAAACAATAAGCAAACAAACAAACGTCCTCGAATAGTCTTTTTATAACTCTGCATATATCAGTCTGGATCGCTCGTTTACATATATGTTTGTTGTTTAACGCCCCACTCAGCAATATTCAAGCTATATGACGCCGGTCTGTAAATAATCGAGTCTGGACCAGACAATCCAGTGATTTACATCATGAGCATCGATCTACGCAATTGGGATACGATGACATGCATCAACCAAGTCAGCCAGCCTGACCACCCGATCCCGTTAGTCGCCTCTTACGACAAGCATAGCCGCCTTTTACGGCAAGCATGGGTTGCTGAAGACCTATTCCACCCCGGATCTTCACGGGTAACTCGTTTACAGAACGCAATAACAGATTGTGTCAAGATTTAATGAGGACATACATTTTACATAGATGCACGTGTTCATGTACACCAGCACAGTTTCACAACGTACACACGCGTTGATGTCATAACCTAAGCCAGTATTCGATCCGTATCCACATGGCCCATGCACGTCATATTAGCGTTGACGAGTTCCCCTTGCGGCCAAGGTCTGCGGTATTTGCAGGCACTGGACCTGGCTGTAGCAAAACAACAAGCTCTGTGTGCGGGCACCTGCTGGCTCCCGTGACTAACTTCCACAGTACAACACAACATTTCTCAGGTAACAGACAGCCTGTCACCCCAATGCTCCCGTCACTCTTGCGTTGGATGCAATTGTTTCATTTTCCGAGCCAACAGAATTTTTTTAAATTCAAAAACGAACTATTATTTGTTTAAAAAATTCGAAATAAATAGTAAATAATCAGAATTAAATGATCTAATACTGAATTCCTTTCCAAAAATCTGCAACATTGTCAATGCGATGTGACATTGTATCTCGCTCCCTCACTCTCCACTGACGGGATCTGTTTTTTTCTCGATTATCCATTTTTTTAGAAATATGATACAGAATGGTGTCATAATACGCTGGATAATCGAGAATAGGACCCCGAGTCATCCGTTCAAAACACTGCTTCCCCCCTGACAGTTTACCAGCTCAAAGCTTGTGCCTAAATCGTGGGTTCCATCACGAAACTATAAAGGTCCGTGGTTCCACTGAAGTGCTGACGGTCCACCAACTGCATCACTCGGGGGTTTATCTTCTCACATTCAGATGTCAAAAATGCTATCGAGAAATATTTCTAAAAAATAAATAAAACACACCTCACTCTGGGTGGTTACATGGAGCAAGATCAAGCCCCCTTCACTTTATGCACGCCAGTCTACATCCACAGTTTTTAAGAAAATCTTGTTCGCAAAGTTGGATACTAATGACGTCATAGTTAAAGGCCGCTAACTCACGTACTGATGACGTTCAACGAACTTTAATTTTCCTATCTTGATCATACTGTATTTCCTCGGTTACACGTTAACATGATACAGTATTATTATATAAATTCATTATTCAGTTACGTATTTACTAAAATATTTCAATATTAACTTATTTCATCTTGCCCCATAACCATTGAGAAAATCGTGCAGCGAGAATTATTCCTTGCATCAAGCTGCCTGTATAAGTCAAAGGAAGTCATACCAGAACCTGTCACAACTTGACGGAAATACGTGTGTTGCATTTTCATGTTTTCCACATTAATCACCGTGATGGGACACTTAGTGCTGGACGTGCCCCCCTACAGACAGATCCCGCTGTGGTAATCTTTAGTTGGATGTAGGTGTCTTTATATAAACTCACGGAAACAGGACCGGTCACGATGAATAAGAAGATTTCCGCTTGGTTATCAATTTCATTCTTATTCTGCACGTATCCCGCTGTTTAAAACACTTATAATATACTACTCCATTAACGGCCATAATTACATTCAGGTTGTAATCACGTCACTGTCAGATCAGTGTTGTCCTCCCTCTCATAATCATTGTTCAGTTCAACGCAACAGGGAAACAATTGTGACCGTGGGTTTCACACAAGGGGTGAACGTCAATGACCTGCGTCTGCAGCTTCCTCCCACATAAGAAGATGACACGTCAGGATTATATTGTTCAACGTTAAATCAAACTCACGGACCCCCTCACACACCTTGACCTCCTCACACACCCCGACCTCCTCACACACCTCGACCTCCTCACACACCTCGACCTCCTCACACACCTCGACCCCCTCACACACCTCTACCCCCTCACACACCTCGACCTCCTCACACACCTTGACCTCCTCACACACCTCGACCTCCTCACACACCCCGACCTCCTCACACACCTCGACCACCTCACACACCTCGACCTCCTCACACACCTCGACCTTCTCACACACCTCGACCACCTCACACACCTCGACCTCCTCACACACCTCGACCTTCTCACACACCCCGACCTTCTCACACACCCCGACCTCCTCACACACCTCGACCACCTCACACACCTCGACCTCCTCACACACCTCGACCTCCTCACACACCTCGACCCCCTCACACACCTCGACCTCCTCACACACCTCGACCACCTCACACACCCCGACCTTCTCACACACCTCTACCTCACACACCTCGACCTCCTCACACACCCCGACCTCCTTACACACCTCGACCTCACACACCTCGACCTCCTCACACACCCCGACCTCCTCACACACCTCGACCCCCTCACACACCTCGACCTCCTCACACACCTCGACCTCCCCACACACCTCGACTTTCTCACACACCCCGACCTCCTCACACACCTCGACCCCCTCACACACCTCGACCCCCTCACACACCTCGACCTCCTCACACACCCCGACCTCCTCACACACCTCGACCCCCTCACACACCCCGACCTCCTCACACACCCCGACCTACTCACACACCTCGACCCCCTCACACACCTCTACCCCCTCACACACCTTGACCTCCTCACACACCTCGACCTTCTCACACACCTCGACCCCCTCACACACCTCTACCCCCTCACACACCTCGACCCCCTCACACACCTCTACCCCCTCACACACCTCTACCCCCTCACACACCCCGACCTCCTCACACACCTTGACCTCTTCACACACCTCGACCTCTTCACACACCTCGACCCCCTCACACACCTCGACCTCCTCACACAACCCGACCTCCTCACACACCTTGACCTCCTCACACACCTCTCCCCCCTCACACACCTCGACCCCCTCACACACCCCGACCTCCTCACACACCTCGACCTCCTCACACACCTCGACCCCCTCACACACCCCGACCTCCTCACACACCTCGACCCCCTCACACACCTCGACCTTCTCACACACCTCTACCTCACACACCTCGACCTCCTCACACACCCCGACCTCCTCACACACCTCGACCTCCTCACACACCTCGACCTTCTCACACACCCCGACCTCCTCACACACCCCGACCTCCTCACACACCTCGACCCCCTCACACACCTCGACCTTCTCACACACCCCGACCTCCTCACACACCCCGACCTCCTCACACACCTCGACCTCCTCACACACCTCGACCCCCTCACACACCCCGACCTCCTCACACACCTCGACCCCCTCACACACCTCGACCTTCTCACACACCTCGACCTCCTCACACACCTCGACCTCACACAGCCCGATCGACCCCGTCAGACACCCTGACACCCTCAAGCATTCCGGGTAGATGAATAGATCGGTTCCTATCGATGTATTCGCCATTTTTTCCTATATATGTACACTTCAAAGTAATAGGACAAGTCTAAGGAATTAAGCGTAACACATTTGAAAAGAACACACCTCTGCTAAGAATGGGATCCTGCCGACTATCGGTAACGGAGTTAAAATATACCGTAAACATTGCCGTGGATGCACCTCGAACGCCAATGCTGTCTACAGTGAAACCCCGTTAATCCGGACGATTCCACTGCAAACGGTATAGTCCGGATTAATGAGTTTTTACTATCCACAGCAGCATAGGTGCAAGGGACGGCCCCTGGTATTTTGAGATCGGTCGGTCCGTGTAGCATGCAACATTGTACGTTTCGAGATAAGTTTAACATTATGTAAAGGTACTTTAAACTTACCCACAACAAGGAAGGATAGAAGAGGACTGTGTAACCGTGACTATAGAAGTGGCACCACGTCTAATGACTTATTTCTCTCATAAGCTTAAGCTTGTAAGCTTATAGTACCATCCCCAGTCCTGACCGCATATCCCAAATATGGCCGCATCCCTATTCACGAAACTCGACGATCCCAACACTGTCTTCAACCCCATTCCGTGTGCCCCGGGCTCGTCTTCCAAGACCGTCGAAATGAATTGCGTTTCTTCTTATTGTCAGTATATAAGCAACTTCACAGATAGTTGAGTTACATTACGCGCCGCTCATAGCAATATTACTGTCACTCTCACCATGACCACACACTCAAGTATGGAATACACGATTGACATTTCTTAATTGGTTTTTTTTCAACCGCTTGTTACAGTCCGGCATTCCGACACATTTCTCCTGCCCAGTACATATATAGTGAAGATTCAAAGGACATATATACGACCATTCTAAGCAATATACTAGTTTTTTTTATGAAAATGGATAAATAATCGTCATGTCACACAGAAACAAAAGCATATCTTTATGTTGTGTGCAAACTGGTCAGGATCTTCGAATTCCCTTTCTCACATAATGTAGGTGTCACATACCTTCGTCACTGTAGAGACGTATACTTTCCTCGATCACCGATCTTTGAGAAAAGGAAATCCCATTTTATTTGTATTTTGATTCACAACGAAAACGATTAATTGCCTCATTTATAGGAGAAAATAACACTGAAAAAAATGTTTAGTGCATTGTTCTACAAAATATGTTCCTATTTTACCTTTAGATATAAAAAAATACTTAAGAAACATATTTTATTTCATTGTGTGTAGGAAAACGAGTTATTACATAAATTTAAAGAAATGGCAAGTTCACAAAATGCCCCCTCCGTGCGACTGAGTGAAAAGGAAGACGCTTTTGTACCCTTCACATGTTTAAAAAATCGATCACTCGTCTTATAAAAAATTGTTTAAAGTTATTTATCTTTCAAATCTGAAGCGAATCCCTTCCAGCTTGGGGGTATATAGTAAAGCATGGGCGTCCTCTTTGATGTGTTGAATCAGCGACAGGATGTGGGAGTCATCGTCGACGCAGGGGGAAGAGGTCGGACAACAGCACAGAGAATCGTACAGCAACGTTGTTTGGATGCACCAGACGCCGCACGGGTCACGTGTTTCCCCAGTTGGACATTCCATTCTCCCGTTCTGTGAGTCAAGGTTACCGATGGGTTTACACAAACTAGACGTCTTAAGGAATTTGCTTTCGGCGAAATTTGAAAAAGAAGTTCGTTGAAAAAGACGTTACATGTCGGCATGCCTGAGTATTAGGCCGTTTGTGTGTGAGTGCTGAAAATCAATTTCTTTGTAGTATTAACAAATCAGTCGAAAAAAGATATTAATCATTTTATTACTGAATTTTTATTTTGTAACATTGTTATTTTAATGCTGACACAAAAAAAAATGAAAATCAATCTTCTCAAACGGAATGTTTGGAGTCCTAATTTTCCAATGGTTAACAAAGACGCGTCAAAACATTATTCAAAACGACAATAGCTATTATACAGTATCGAGTAGGTATTGAGTAGTGATAAAGCTTGGCACCACGCCAGGTGTAAATGTCACCATGGGATATTTCAGAATGTGATATTTATCTATTTTATTAACCGTTTAAACAGAACAGTATTTCAACGCGACAATTCCACAGGAGTAAGTGGTCGAGAGGAAATACGAATACATGTAGTTTATTTCTGCCATTTATAGAAAGATTTATATTATACATTCATGAAGGAAAAGAAAAGGTATTCTTTTGGAAAGGCGTACGTATATGTCAAGCAGCTAGCGTATCAAGATCAGTGTGCCTTGACGTCAGTGAGATGCTGCCTACCTGATCTATTTACGTTATCTGGTATATCACTGTATACGGGCTACATGTACATATAGGCAGACTCTCTTCACCTTATCTGGTATATCACTGTATACAGGCTACATGTACATATAGACAGACTCTCTTCACCGTATCTGGTATATCACTGTATAGGGGCGACATGTACATATAGGCAGACTCTCTTCACCTTATCTGGTATATCACTTTATACAGGCTACATGTACATATAGGCAGACTCTATTCACCTTATCTGGTATATCACTGTATACAGGCTACATGTACATATAGGCAGACTCTCTTCACCTTATCTGGTATATCACTGTATACAGGCTACATGTACATAGAGACAGACTCTCTTCGCCTGATCTGGTATATCACTGTATACAGGCTACATGTACATAGAGACAGACTCTCTTCACCGTATCTGGTATATCACTGTATAGGGGCGACATGTACATATAGGCAGACTCTCTTCACCTTATCTGGTATATCACTGTATACAGGCTACATGTACATATAGGCAGACTCTATTCACCTTATCTGGTATATCACTTTATACAGGCTACATGTACATATAGGCAGACTCTATTCACCTTATCTGGTATATCACTGTATACGGGCTACATGTACATATAGACAGACTCTCTTCACCGTATCTGGTATATCACTGTATAGGGGCGACATGTACATATAGGCAGACTCTCTTCACCTTATCTGGTATATCACTTTATACAGGCTACATGTACATATAGGTAGACTCTATTCACCTTATCTGGTATATCACTGTATACAGGCTACATGTACATATAGGCAGACTCTCTTCACCTTATCTGGTATATCACTGTATACAGGCTACATGTACATATAGACAGACTCTCTTCACCTTATCTGGTATATCACTGTATACAGGCTACATGTACATATAGACAGACTCTCTTCACCTTATCTGGTATATCACTGTACAGGGGCGACATGTACATATAGGCAGACTCTCTTCACCTTATCTGGTATATCACTTTATACAGGCTACATGCACATATAGGCAGACTCTCTTCGCCTTATCTGGTATATCACTTTATACAGGCTACATGTACATATAGGCAGACTGTCACTATATCACTGTATAGGGGCTGCATGTACATATAGGCAGACTTTCTTCACCTTATCTGGTATATCACTGTATAGGGGCTACATGTACATATAGGCAGACTTTCTTCACCTTATCTGGTATATCACTGTATACAGGCTACATGTACATATAGACAGACTCTCTTCACCGTATCTGGTAAATTACTGTATACAGGCTACATGTACATATAGACAGACTCTCTTCACCGTATCTGGTATATCACTGTATACAGGCTACATGTACATATAGGCAGACTGTCACTATATCACTGTATAGGGGCAAGATGCACATACAGGCAGACTGTCACCATATCACTGTATAGGGGCAAGAAGCACATACAGGCAGACTGTCACCATATCGCTGTATAGGGGCAAGAAGCACATACAGGCAGACTGTCACTATATCGCTGTATAGGGGCAAGAAGCACATACAGGCAGACTGTCACCATATCGCTGTATAGGGGCAACATGTACATATATGCAGACTGTCACTATATCGCTGTATAGGGGCAAGATGCACATACAGGCAGACTGTCACCATATCACTGTATAGGGGCAACATGTACATATAGGCAGACTGTCACTATATCGCTGTATAGGGGCAAGATGCACATGCAGGCAGACTGTCACCATATCACTGTATAGGGGCAACATGTACATATAGGCAGACTGTCACTATATCGCTGTATAGGGGCAAGATGCACATACAGGCAGACTGTCACCATATCACTGTATAGGGGCAACATGTACATACAGGCAGACTGTCACCATATCACTGTATAGGGGCAAAATGTACATATAGGCAGACTGTCACTATATTACTGTATAGGGGCAAGATGCACATACAGGCAGACTGTCACCATATCAATGTATAGGGGCAACATGTACATACAGGCAGACTGTCACTATATCACTGTATAGGGGCAAGATGCACATACAGGCAGACTGTCACCATATCACTGTATAGGGGCAAGATGCACATACAGGCAGACTGTCACTATATCGCTGTATAGGGGCAAGATGCACATACAGGCAGACTGTCACTATATCGCTGTATAGGGGCAAGAAGCACATACAGGCAGACTGTCACTATATCGCTGTATAGGGGCAAGATGCACATACAGGCAGACTGTCACTATATCGCTGTATAGGGGCAAGATGCACATACAGGCAGACTGTCACTATATCGCTGTATAGGGGCAAGAAGCACATACAGGCAGACTGTCACTATATCGCTGTATAGGGGCAAGAAGCACATACAGGCAGACTGTCACTATATCGCTGTATAGGGGCAAGATGCACATACAGGCAGACTGTCACTATATCGCTGTATAGGGGCAAGAAGCACATACAGGCAGACTGTCACTATATCGCTGTATAGGGGCAAGATGCACATACAGGCAGACTGTCACTATATCACTGTATAGGGGCAAGATGCACATACAGGCAGACTGTCACTATATCGCTGTATAGGGGCAACATGTACATATAGGCAGACTGTCACTATATCGCTGTATAGGGGCAAGATGCACATACAGGCAGACTGTCACCATATCACTGTATAGGGGCAACATGTACATACAGGCAGACTGTCACCATATCACTGTATAG